CTACAACATAGCCCAGAACATAGATTGCCTTTGGACTCCTTGCTTAGCTAGACCATCAGCTATGCCATTAGCTGACCTCCTAATCCATCTTATGTGAATTTCCCTATCTTTTTTTTTTTTGATAAATAGTGAATTTCCATATCTTTAGAAGCCTGCTTAAAGCGCCTGAACTCATTTCTTAATCTCCAGATTGCTACATCCTCTTTCAGCCAGTTTACAACGACTTTTGAGTCCCCTTCAATAACCAATCTGTTAATCCCCAACTCTTTAGCTTTCTCAACACCAAACACTGTTGCCTTCAATTCTGAATTCACCACACCACCATGCTGGGTAGGGCCTGAGAACATGGCAATGATATTTCCATTCTCCTCCCTCATTACCCCACCAATGCCCGATGTGCCAGGGTTTCCCAAACAGCTCCTGTCAAAGTTTAGTTTCTTCCACCCAACATCTGGAGGGGACCAAAATTCAGTTACAATAAGTCTTCTAGAAGCCATATTTGCAAATGTTCCCCGTGATCTAAAGAAATCTTCTGTCCAAAAATCTGTGAATATTTTCAAAGTTTTCACCCAATGTGCCACCCTTATAGTTATCGCTTCAATCACAGCATCTCTACCTTTTCTTGTCATCAAATATCCTCAGATTTCTTTCCTCCCAGATTGTCCAGGCCACTGCTGCTCTAGTGCACTTACCCATCACTTTTCCTCTCCTTTTAGAGCACCGGAAAATATTGGAGGTAAAAAGATCTTCCAGATTAGCAGGAGGATTCCACCTGCAACCAAACAGAGAGGAAAACCACTCCCAAATAGAGTTAGCAAAAGGGCGGGAGATAAAGAGGTGAAGAGTAGTCTCACCATTCAGCTTACATAAGGAGCACCAGTTTGGGGACAAGCACCACTTTGGTTTTTTCTCTGAAGCAAGCCGCAAGTGTTGATGGAACCATGGAATATTTCCCAATAGAAAGCACTAACTTTAGGAGGAATGAGCCGAGAAGTGGCACGGATCTTCTTGTCATCAAACCAATGTTCTAAAACTCTTAGGAATGACGTTCTTTTTTTATAGCACCTGGTTTTATAGGAGCTATCTGTAGTCACAACATCCTTTTTTTTTAATGAATTGCTTTACTTTTTTAAAGAAAAATGTTTGAAAAACCTCACAGGTTGTCAACCCAGCTGGGAAGCAGGTAATACTGTTAGTTCGTCCAAGACTATATTACCCATGCAGAGCAAAGACAAGGTATGCACAAGGTTTCAGATATGGAATTCACACAAAACTTAAGTTTTAGATTGGACAAGATTGATTTTGAGTGCCTGAATAACATTTTTTTACTGTTTCAGACCTGCTTGAATTCTAATATTCCCACATTAATTCAGCAAAATGCAGCAAAACAGAGAGAGCATATACTCACCCTTTTGCAGGTATCAAAGAACTGGATTTTATCTTCTATTTTCAGTGATTATACTGATCCAGATGATTCACTTTGACTGGTCCAATTCTCAGAGTCCCGAACAAACTTCAGGTCATACAGCTACTGAATTCAGTCCAGGGAAATGTTGCAAACTGAGGTTGTGTCTCCTCTTCCACAAAAGATTCCCAAACATTTTTTTTTTTAAATCTTCCCCCCCCCTATCTTCTAGGTCTTTGTACTGATCACCATTCACAATTCACCAGGTACAGCTGAAATGGTGTTGTCCAATTTTTAAGTAATCTCGGTCCAATACCAAACAAAACAAAGAAAGGGATACTCTTCCTGGCTTTGAGTTCAACCATCCACCTTATTTCCTCTTTGAAACATCATTGCAAATACCATCTCTCCCTTCAGTCTTTTGGGACTCCAAGATGCAACTTCAAAATAATCTTCAATTGTAGTGTATTAATTCATTCTTATGATCTTGGACACAAACAAGGAATCCCAGACACAGAAAGCCCCAAGAATCTAGAAACATGGAAATGGATAACAAGTACAAATATTCATATATGGTGTTATGGGCCCGAGCGTAGGATCGTGTCACGGGTCGTTCCGCCGTCAGAGCCTCGGACCTTTCCTTGCCCTTGGCCTTGCGTACAGGCCCTATTTTGACTGTCGTGGGGGGTGATTTGTCCAAGAGATCACCGAACTCTCCTTACTCCCTTTCTTGACTGCA